ACTATTTTTATTACAATAAATTCCGTTCCCTAGTGAAGAGTAAAGTTTGGAAATTCTCCAATATAATTATAATTCACTACCTACATACATTTGAAAGTGTTTATGGAAATGTATCACATTTACTAAGATAATTATTATAAACAGTAATTGTATTTACAATTGTTTTGCATTTCTAATTTACCTTTACATGGTATATATTTTTTTAAATTATTTGAAGGACATTATTTTTCCATGAAGCTTGTGATGTTTTTATCTACCTTTTATAGGAATGGTAAGGCATATCAATGTGAATTGATGCGCTGCTTTATTTAGCAATACAATGGGAGAACATTTGGGGAACACACAGGAACATGTGAAAAGTATGAGGAAACATGAAGGGGAACATACACTAAGCTTAGTACACAAAATTATGACATTTGTGCAGCCAAATGCCAACCGCAAAATGGGCCAATGATTTGATGATGGCCAATGATTTGATGATGGTGGCCATATCCATCAATTCAAGAGTTGATGATATCAGTTATTTCATCCATGATGTCTTGTTGGCATACACAATTGATGATGCAAGATTTTGAAAATAGATTTGGATAAAATGTCAATGATTATGAGCAGTGATGTGAAATTTAATTTAAAACTTAACACTGACAAAGGTCAGTCTACAACCAGATCAAGCACTACCACTAACACAGTATTCTCACATCATTTAGAAAATGTACCCTCTAAATTATTTATATTATACTTTGGCCATGATCAGGGCAGGATTTAAGTATTGCTGGGCGCCCCCCCCCCCCCCCCCCGCCCCAACACAAAATTGTTTTGGTGGTGTGAACTGCGAGTGCCTGAAGGGAGGCAGGTTACTCCTACTGTACAATGATTGCTGTACCAAGTTTGTTTTGCAGGCATTAATATTGCAAATGTATTTGCATGGTGGAACCACAGTAATCCCTTTCAGACAGCCTGGCTTGAGGTTTTCTTTAGGCCCTTAAAAACTTAATTCAGCTTTTTATGACTTTCACTTTCTAACCATACATTTGTACTAACTGAAAAATAGTTGTGTTAAAATTACAAAAATGGACTCCCCAAAAAGGATACAAAAACCTATCAAACCAAATTGCATAAATTCAATACAAGCAAAACATTTTAAAATATCAACTCCTCCTTGTGACATCTTCAGTACTTCAAAAACTCACTCTTCATTTTTAATCTTTAGCAAAATCTAATAATCAAATCCAAATGTTTATTCAACAGATAAGAAAATTACCAAAAGAGAGAGAAGGAGATAGAGGAGAGAGAAGGAGAGAGAGGAGAGGAGAGGAGAGACAAATAAGAAAAAAAAAACAAGCAATCTTGGTTACAGTTGGACAAAGCTGGTTATTATTCATGAACAGCCCTACCAATAAACGTGGTGTAAAATTTATTCTGTTCTTAAGCCTAGAATAGCAGGAGAATAGCAAAAACCCCTACAAATTAACATGGACTAACTCGAGCACGGAATGAGAGAGGTGTAGTTTCCATGGCAACCGCTAAACCTCGGAGACACGTAGTTTGAGAGTGGAATAACGAGGAAATAACCTAGATATGCGAAAACAGAGGCGAATAAGAACGAACTGTTTGTGCGTTTCGCTTCATTGTATTTGTACTTTTCAATTCGCCTGTACTTTCTTTTCTTGTTTTCTCGAATATTTGGCAAACTAGTTTATTTCGTGAATTATTAATTTGTTCGTATTTTCTTGGACTTTTGGCATTGGAAACTTCCAAGTGATTTTGTTGGCTTTCTTATCAGAAATGGAAGTGTTAACAGCATTGATAAAATGTACGGACCGCCGAGGAAAAAAAAGTGTGCAATCTTTTTGAAGGGTATTCGGCTTAATTTCGAAATAAAAATGAGTTTTCGTGGGACGGTACGCAGGTGTTAACCAAGTGTGTTGAAGAATGTCATTAACAGTAAGCAACCATATCCCTAATAGGCCTATAGCGTGTCCATTATAAGTATTTTTAATCATTAAACGTGAATACGTAAAATACCTCGTAGAAAATTAATGATATATTGTTTTATTTTAATAAAGTAAATAGGATTATCCACGATCAACTAAATAAATAAAATGACATGACATACTGTTCTCATATTTTCAATGATTCAACATTAAAACAAAGACTGAAGATGAGAAATTTCATGGCAGATTTTCGTTGGAATCTACTTCTTCCTCTATGAATTATTTATGACCCCATAAAAAAGTATATGAAAAACAAGAAAAAAAAATACTGTTTAGAGATGTTTGTTGTGTTGAAAAGCTGCTTTCAATGCCCAGAAGATACTGCAGAAATTATGCAGGGCCGTTACTTTAAAAAGTCCGAATTTTATGTGGAGGAAGAAGCAATTGACCACTTATACTACCAATAGTAGCAGATGTTCAATAAGCAGCAGCAGCAGTTTGGAGAGCACATAAAGACAATTAAAATAAAATGTATGATACGTAATTGACCTAACATTTCATGAATATTCTAATTTCAAATAAAAGTTACACTTGTATTGTGTGATAATAGATATATTTTTATTTTATAAATATGCTCCAGTGATATAGCTATTGAACATTAAAATCTTTAGGTAATAAGTTCTTCTTTATGTTCAAGAATACTGAAAATTTATTTTCATTGAGTGTTCTGAGAAAACTTTGTATTTTAAAATTAAATTCCATACTGCTAATTTCGTATCTGTTTTAAATCTGAATTTACTAGTTTTTCTACAAAAAAAAAATACAAGAACTTGTCTTGTATTCTACCTCTCTGCAACATCAACAATCTCTAGCAAAGTACAGTAACAGAAACTACCGTTAGGAAAAATATAAGAAAGGAGGGGATTGGTTTTCAATGTAAATAAAAAAAAATTTATGCCAAATATAATTCTGCATTAAAGCATTAATTGTATCCAACTACATGTATATAATATTATTCTTTTAACCAATATTTTATAACTAAACGTTACATACCAAATTCACATAAAAACAATGAAAAAAATGACACAAATATTGAGTCTTCCCCAGGTATCAGACTAAAAGATTGGTTCATTATGAACTCAAATTAATACATTTGAAGTTCTAACAAATCTTTTAGGACAATACCTGATTAATAAAAAAAAAAAATAATAATAATTTGTCATAACATTTTAATGTGACTTTTGTAGGCAATAGTTATGAACATGTCAGTATCAAAGTTGGTCATTAATAAAAAATATTCACGTAAATGAGTATTTGAATTCATCAACAACTGTCTTAAAATAGAAAAAATAATCTTGATATTGAAGAATTTAAGCATGCTGTTTTAAGTTGATCCCTGCCTTTAAGATATACTGTAGTAAGAAAAGGCAAAACCATTTTTTACATTCTTTCAAGTGAAAGAATTTTAGTGATATTTTTATATTAAGTTTCGAAGGGTAATGGTTCAGAAAATGAATAAATTAAAAACAGATATTCTTGAGAAGATAAATCTTCTAATATGGGTCAGAAACTAATTTCATTCACTCACTATTTTTTACATATATTTTCAATTAGTTGTATGTTAACAAAAATGAAAAATTATTAATTTTTTTGTGACAAAGCGAAAATTCAACTTGACATGGGCTTGCTTTGAACAAGTAAACTTTTAATAATTCATATAAGTGGGATTAAATCAAATAGTAATGAATTCAATATAAATTAGTTCACAAGCAGTAAAATTGTCCAATTATACAGCACAAAAATTAAATAATGTTCTATCCTTATATCAGAATTAAGTGTTCCTAACAGCATACGAGTAAAATGAATTGAAACAGCAGTTTTAATTGGTAATAAAGTTGAATGGACGATTTTTTCTTCTCTAACAATTATTGTTCTATAATCATATTTACATTCCCCAATCAAGTTAGAATAAACTTTTTTTATTATATTTATTTGTATTTTAACTTTGTTTACAATATTTATGTATGGCAAGATGCCAGCATATAATTTGAAGGTAAATAATATTACCCACAATTTAAAAGAATAACATAATAATCTATATTTGAATAAATACCATTCTGTTTAAAAAGCAATAAATTGAAGAGGGGGTAAATAAATATTTAAATTACTGAGGACGGGAAATACTTTTAAGGAAATATTAACGTATTCAAGAATTTGGAAAATAATTTGGTCCTAAAGCAAAATATGTAGATGCATGTGAAATAAGTAAATTATAAAAGTTGTTTGTGAGATGAATTCAGGATTTAAAAGAATGAATTTTAAGTTACTTAGAATGTGTTTTTTGAGATTCTTATATTATTATTCAGATTTGGAGACAAATTTTTAAAATTTTCACAATTGTTTCACATCAAAAAATAAAAAAGGGGTTATAAACACATTTCTGAAAGTGTTATATTCATAAACTTACCGATCACATAGTTGATTTATTTCACCAAATTCACATCATTTTCTCATATTTGTCAGATTTCATTTTCAAACTGTGCTCTTTCTGCAATCATTTATCTATCCTTAACTTTCACTCGCGCTTTTGGTCATTAATTTAATTTTTTTAAACTGACACCAGCATTCAAAATTATTGTATTTCCAAAACAACTTGTTCATCAATAGGAGTTCACCAACTACCAATGCAATAACACAATTCGAAACGCAAACATGACGCAAAGTTCCAGCCTAGTCCTTATAGAGGCCTCAAAGAATAAAGTAAATACGCCAATGACTGTGTATATGTGTACGACTATGTAATATGAAGCAATGTTGCCAAGCATTGATTCCGTATTTAACAAGAACTAGTTAAGCTATGGTTTAGCAGCCATTATTGGTAAAAATTTAATCCACTCTTATTCCGAACTTACACTGGAAGTAACTATTCCCGGAATCAGCGTGTTTTAACAAAGTTACACCAAGCTTTTATTAGTAGGGCTGGAAATGTGTAAGCATTACCAGTGAAATTAAAGGAGAGAAGAGACTTCTAAAATACTACCCCATCATGCAGAAAATATCACCACATCAAGCATAAGACCAATTTATTTTTATATATTACAATACATTACAAGTGTTTACAATACATTAATCATTTTCACCAGGAGCAGTTAATGCTCTTTATAATTTGATAAATTTTTGAATATTTTTACATATACACAATGAACACTGTTATCTGTACAATATCCTCCTGACCATACGGTTAGTGAATCAATATCTACACACAAAAATCAACAAAAACAATGGAGCTTCTTCACTTACTCCTTTTTAAATAGCAACAGTACCATTGAAAACATCAGTTTTCTGAAAATGTGCAACCTCTTTCCAATCGCCAAAAATACTGATGCAAACCATCTCTTACAAACACAATGCCCTTCAAAATTGTGAAGTTGTATTTTATAATAAAATTTATGCTTTACTTTTAAAAAATTGCAGTGAGCTACATTCTTACAATTCATGAGCTGTTCAAATTTACAGTCATTCACTCATTTCTTTGCAAAAGATTCTTGTGAAAATAATAAAGACATTCATGTGAATGTGTGAATGTTCTCATACCAAAGACATCCCATTTCCATTTGCAAAGTTCACCCTCCCAAAGGAATAAAATGTTATACTATGGTAACATTTCATGTGGCACAATCTACAATACTGTAACAACATTCAACTTTAAGCATTATCACAAGAAATAACAAAATCTTATTACCATAATTATAGCTAACACAGGTAATAACAGAAGAAGGAATTCATAAGACTGATTTTCATGCAACAAGTACCAACACTTTTATGGACAATTGCTTCGGCCAGAGGCCATTGCTTTTTTTTATCAGCTTTGTTGTGTAATCCATAAATATACTCACCACCAGAATATATTTACTACTTCGATAAAATATATCTGAGGGAAAATAGAAATGTTACAATATTATTAATTAGTGAATGCCAAAATTCATTTAAAAGGTACCTGACATTTCAACATTTACAATAATTGCCTTTATTATATTTAGTATTCGTTTTTGCTAATATGATTACCCAAATGTAATGAACTTTTCTGATCACAGAAGAAACAAGTAAAAAAATAAAATTGAGCCAAGAAAATGTTTTAGTATTGACTCCTTTGCTTACATTGCATGCACTTATGTTTCAGAAAAGCAATTCGTTTCAAGGAAGAAACAAAGCATATTATGATGTCCTGAGAGAAGTTATATTATAAAAAATGGAAAACTTGACAATATGCACTGTTCAATTATTCCACATGAAGTTAAGTTGTTAAACAGGTATAAACATTACGTTATATGAATGAAACGTATTGCACCAGAAAGTGTAATGTATACTGATGCACTATCCTCTTCACAAATTTGATAAACTGAGGTAGGTTTTAAAATCAAACTTTCTCCTCAGCTGAAATACTAAAAGCACAACAAACACACATTGAAAAGATTGACAAGTATTGTACACCAATAATAATTCAAATGAAAAATGAATTATGATGAAAGACTGCACTTTTCAATGTACAATTACATTGAAAATTGAAAGAGTGTGCCAAAATCCCTCTCATTGTATAAATATTCTTTTGATATTTCTTCAGAACTTGACTTATGACATCATTGCCAAACAAACGAAACACCATTTCAAAATTTTAAATTAAGTTTTGTTTCGTTTTATTTCCATAGCACATCTTATTACAAATATGAAGTCATGTGCTGCATTAAATGAAGAATGATTATGATCTTTGTGCTTTCATCTTGCCAACAGAGGTTCAATGTACAGAAGTATGATACTCTTCCATCAATTTCTTGTAAGTGCTCCTGCATAGATTGAATAAATGCTCTCTGAACTATTAACCACACTTTTGCATCTACACCTCACCTCTTTAAACATCTATACTTTTCTTACATGAACCATCCATCCGTATTTTGCTCTCAACAATCATTCAATTATAATGACAAGGCAAGATTGGAACATTTAATACAAGGTAAAAGCAACATAAAATAACTAAAATTAAACATGTGGAAAAACACCAGTATCATTAATATCATTACCTCCCACTCCTTACTTCTTAAGATGAATGATGACACTGAAATGACTCAGATTTACAAGCTATGAATAGGAAGATGTTGCCACATTCTCAAAACTCATTCATACAACATATGGGAAATAGTGGTCCATGACTTACATTAAAAGAATAACAATAAACCTACTGGTTCCAAAAAATTTAGAAAAATAAATACAAACATAATTAATTCAACCCACTTGCCACTTAACAATGAAACATTGCCAAGGGGGCTGTCCACATTGCGCACACAAGCTCTATCAATTACAACTGATCTACAAGCAAAAAAATCTACAAAGAATTTTCACCAACAGACGATCCAAACAACTTGCTGTGCAATATTTATATAAATGTTCACAGTAAGTTATTAAACTCTCAAACTGTTGTTAACAAACTTGCAAATGAGGAAAACCATGTTCCAAGGTTTGGTACCCAGTTACATGTGGAACACAATAACTCGAGACCACTGTCCTTTAACTGCATACAACACATTCTTTTTACTAAGTACAAGTACCATTTCTGTTGGCAGCATACACCTTATAGAACTTAACATTATGTGTAATTATCTACTTTCTGGAAATATAGAAGGCATCATCCACTTAGCTAATTACTTTATTTCCCACGAAAACAAAGCAACCCTGTGTCATATACGCTTCACTTCCTCTGACGAACAGAATCCTTTCCATGATCAGGGGTGTTTTTCCTGCAACAAAAAATTAAGCTAAGAAATTTCCATTCCAAAAAACTCTTATTCAAGAACCAATGAAGCTCTTCACTCAAAGGGAAAATTTCATGACTTTGGGAATTTTACAAATCTTAAAATTAATGAATTCATGAAAGCTATTTTGGAAAAGAAAACGCCACACATTTGAACACAATCTACAACTTATTTTCAATTCAAGCTCAGAATGAGTGCAGTATTAATCTTTACCCAAATATCCAGATTAAAAAAATTACAAACATTTGATAAGGATGAAATTACAGTGAAACTTCATTTATGTGATTTTCAAGGAACTGAAGGGAATAAATGTATAAGAGAAAAACACAACTGAAAATGAAAATCTAAGTGCAATATTTTTACAATACTGTTTTGTTGGAAAATAATATGCATGTAATATTCTCAATACATAACATATTGAAGGAAAGTTCTCATTTCTGAAAAGAGTCATCTTGGACAATTTGCTGCTTCAATATAAATTTCCCCTCAAAAAGGTGACAACAGCCCCATAATTGTCCACATTAATTGATTTTCATGACTTTTGTACAAATAAGCCAATATTCATTGTGCATAGTCGGCAAGCCATTCTTTATGAAACAAATATCACACACGACAGGGGACCCTGGTGAGCTGTTTGCATCATTACCCTTACACCCTGGTTTTGTTCAGTTTCTACAGTTTTTATCAGGTTCCAATGAATGCTGACATGCCTAGCGTACAGACAAAACTAAACAACCTGAACACTGAACAAAACACAGATTCCTTTGGCTCCTCTAGGATGACCTAATTGTTCTCGCTTACTGCTTACCTTCATCTGTGTGTGAATATAGTCAAAACTTACACACAAGTGTGAAAAGTGAATAAATGTAAAATGCATATCTGAAACAATTTTTCATAGGAAGTACAGGAATTTAGCTGGGACGTTTGAACTAGAAAGCATAAAAGGGAAAAATGTGCAAGTTCAAAATATATAAATGAAGTTTTACTGTATATCCAATGAAATCGCATGCCTTTCCCATCAAGAGGATGTGCCTCAAAAAAGACCCTTCTCCTTTCAAATTCCCCAAAACGAGCAACAACTGTCCATCTTTAGCAACTCTCCGCAAAACAATCTAGGTGTATCAGGATTTAACATCTTACATTGTGGACCTTGTATTCAAAGTGCCTTGTACAGGTGTCCAGAAATTTCTCATTGTGAAGGAGCAGTACATTAAATGCAACTGTACAATTACAATTGTATAGGGCTGTTGTTAGCCTTCATGCTTCACTCAAAAACTTATCACACATCACCAGACGCAGTGGAAGACGCTCCATAATGGCAATATGCAGACTTTCTAATACATTTACAATAGGTACTGAAAATACTGATACATATAATGTAGTGCGACTTATCGTAAATAGTTTGTAAAAGCTTTCTCAGCTATCTCAATAATTCCTCAATTTTATTAGATTTTGCTTACCCAAATAAACCCTGATCATAGGGGTGCATAGTTCATGGTAAAATTGTTCTATTATTCTTTTACTTAAGTGGGCACAAACAATAAAAATTATCCCAAAATGTGATCAGATTACCTAAATCAAGCAAGAAATTTCTACGATTTAGAATGTCTCAATTTATAGAACAGTACAACAATATTCCAATTAATTAGGGATTGCTAGATCTACACCTTTATTATAGCAAGATTAAACTGAAGATGAAATTTCTCAGTAACTGAATCTGAAGTAGTGTAATCAAGGAGTATTTCTTGTAGCAATGACTTATCAGAACGTAACCTTTATTTACATATTAAAAAATATATCTACATTCATGCAAGGAATAAGAAATGGCTTACTGTTCAGGACTGTTGTCAGTGTCACTTTCATCCAATTCAGCCTTGTTGCGCTTCTTCTCATAAATGAAGATGATAGCACACAACACGATCACCTCAGCACAGATGCCCAGGAAAGGCCACAGGGCAGCCAACTTGTCTACAGAACACAATAAAACACTGAAATTAATTCATGGCACTAGCAGATGCCAGCTTTTAATTGACAATGAATTTCCTGCATGTTTATCAAAAAGCAATAAAGTATTACACAAAATCTATAAAATTACAGTGTCATTTCCAGAAATTGAAAGAGAAACACATCACAATAACACAAAATATAAGTCATTGGTTTTCTCAACTGTGGTGATGGGCTTTAATAATATTCACAAATAATTTCCTCAAATAATCAAGAGCCAAAACCAACTGAAAGCAAATTCATGGCATGGCATGGCATGGCATTTTTCAGGTTTCAAAAATCTATTTCATATTTCCAGTGTCCCCATAATTGTAACGTTAAGTTTGGGCAAATGAAGTAAGATGGAAACTTGTTCTCTTTCTTTTCTAATAGAATGTTATAGCTTAAAGACTTGAGGAAATGCTGCGCAGCAGAATTTGGTTGTTTTTGCAGTGCACAGTTTAGTATTTTGAGTGAGTTTGGGATAAGAAGTGCAGATGCGTTGAATTTTAAAGGGAAGAAAGTCCTGGCAAAACGTTTCAGAACAGCTGTTAAGGGTCCAATAGATCATTTAAAAGGCACAATAAATGCATTTGTTCTCCCAATTAACAAGTTTTAGAAGAACCCCAATTTTATCCCTCAACTTGAAGCCCAATAAGTAGGCATCTCCAGAATAGAAAAGTCTTAAAATGAAAGAAAAACAACACACACTCGCTTTTTTCTTAAGAGATATGAACATTATTTTTATTGTTAGTGAATGCAAGAACTAATTTTGTCATTCTCATGGGTTACCCCTAGTAACATATGTAATAGAACATCGTCATCTTCACATACAGTGAAACTGGACTAAAGCAGTCATCAATGGACCTGGCAAAAAATTGGCCATTAGCAGATGTAGCTGCTTAATCAAGGTTAAGGTGTTAACTGGTATGAAATGAAGTATATTCTCTAAAATTTTTAATTACCATAAATAACATACAATAACCTATAATAAAGTATAATACCAAAAATAAAATGCTATTTAAACAAGAAATTTAGGATCCTTTGCCTCTTCTTAGACAATATCAAAACACATGCACTGCTATGTGTAGGCTATTATCCCTATCCGTACCCTTCGTAAAGGAATTGTGGAGGACTTCCTGCTGTGAGAACATGGAGAATGATAATAAGAGTACTATATTCTCCACCGAACTCCAGAAAACTAACACAGATAGTGAAGTTACATTAATGTCCACAAACAAATCAAGTGGACATCCCAACAATTGCTCAAAAGATCAAGATGTGGGCCACTGACCCAGATGCTGAGGTACAATTCTTTTTACAGGTATATTGAGTCCTTTGGAAGTATACAGTCAAATAGTAACTAATACATAAAATATCATTGTTAAAAATAATATTACTTTCCTTTTTGATGCTCTGTAAAGTCTTTAACTGTAAAGAAATAGTTATGCAGCACAGAAGATTATATCCAACACTTAAACTTGTGTATTGATTTTAATCATATTAAGTCCTCTGGTAATGTCTTGTTAAATAATAAACATAAACATTTAATTATAAGTGATTATTTTGTAGTGAGCTGTTGATACTGACACCTGATGAATATAATGTCTATGTTCAGTATTATAGGTATCTGTATTCGCTGAAAATATGTTCCCACCATTGAGAAAGTCTTTTTTGACAAAAGAAACAACACTGATTTGTAAATCAAGAGGTAAGGCAATGTTAGAACTCCTAGCTTAATAAAGACATGCTTATAGAAATCACTGCTTATTATTCTTATGATTATTTTTTGTAATCTAATGTCTCGAAACTAGAGGATGTGTTTCCCTGTATTATGATGTATCTCAGGCAGGAATATACATACTCTTCACTAAATATACATAACAAGCAGCATGAAGGCTGACAATTTCACATCAACACAAATTCAATCGAAGGATTTAAGGCAAGGCTAGGTAGCTTATGTTATATAAGAGTTATCTAACATCAACATAGATTGGTTGATGCTCTCTTACAAGTCAGATGGATCTGGGTATGTTCTTTATATTTGTGTCATTTATCTATTTTTAGCGATTTGAATGTATTTGGTTTGTGTAAGTGCCTTTGTTACTTGTTGCAGGTTACTTAGAAGTAAAATTCTACAAGATTTTTGCTATAAAGAAGAAGTAGCAAATTACGAAATTGAAAAGATAACAAATTTTAAAAGACTTACAATTAACAAGTTGGTGATAGTGTTAAAATCTATCAACAGTTGTGTTTATGTTAAGCATTAAACCACTTATTTATTCTTTTCTGTGATACGTGAAGGCATACATTTGAACGTTATAAAGGTCATGTCATATGGAGTACTTGTCTATTTGCGCTTCAAGTCTTGTACTCTATTTTCAAGTTCAGTTAATATTTACCTTTTTACAGTGAAGTATTGTATACAAGTTGGATAAAAAGTTGCTGTTTAAGTAGTCCACATTTCCATATTTCATAAAAATCTTCTTTCAATGGTTTTTGTAGATCGTATACCTTTGCAAACTTGTAATGAATCATAATTTTCAATTTATTGAATAAATACCAATCCAAGTTACCTACCTATATAACCACAAGGTAGGTACTAATACTCATCGCTCTTATACGAATTCTATTATATTTATTTCCAACTTTATCATATACATAAAATTGTATTCGTGACATGATTACTACCCTATTCTGAACTATTTACTCTACACAGTTCTAAAAGCCTTCATACATATGAACAATAATTTAGATCATCATATCCATAGGTAGGAAGAGGTCATTCTCTACATAGACGGTTGGGGACAAGTCTGCAACACTGTGAATCTTCCTATTTGTGCACCTGTAATTGCATACAAGGCACAGATATCACACCCCGCCGCAACTCAAAACCAATTTAGAGTTTTGGATTATGAAGCAGATTTTCCTCTCCTTTCTGATCTCCACAACCCTCCTCTACCATCGACAAATTCACGTCCTAACTAACACAAACAGGTTAAGAAGCACATCAACAAAAACTTTTAAAGCTGCGAATCCTAGCCCCCCTGAAAACATTGACATTCCTACTGACTTTAAAGAGCAGGTACTCATTTTATATCACAGTCATGTCCACAGCCTTCCCTTCATTCTCAGAAGAAAGTTAGCCCCCTGCTACTTAGCTTCTTCTTAGTCTCTTTCTATCACAGCCTAATAGGTGGTTTGCAGATGTGACTGCAGAGTTCGACATCCACAAGAAGACACTGACTACTCCGCACACAGTAATTATCATAGGAGGCATTAATGTGGAGTCACTGTACGCTTGAACATGTAAATAAATTTCAATGGGACAATATGTAAACAAATTACAATGTTTTGGGTTGTGTGCAAAACACAAACCTTGTAGTCTCGACTCACCCCTTCTGGTACAAGAGTTCAACACTATGCAGCAACATTAAACATGCAAACCAACAATTAAAACTGCACCTGAGAAAAACAAATGCCCCTTTTTATGTTGTATCCTCTCTGCAAAACACTTCATCCAGCTTGGTCTCCACATGAACTCTGCTGGAAAATGTACACTTTGTAGTAAGCTGGAATGATATATCATGAACTCTTTTCCCATGCTGTCTTCTGCAAAACACCCACCCGTTTCACCTTCCTTTATTTCTACACCCTCCACTCCAATTTCAAACCTTTATACCTCCTCCTCTGAACCTACTCCTGATTCGCATGATCCCAGTATCAATTCCTTTCCACCTGATACAACTTCCTCACATCTATCACTGCTGCGACACATTGCCACCTTTAAACACAAACTTGGGGTAGAAATGGAGTAAAAATACAGTAACTATAGTTAGATGCAGAAAAAACATTTGCTTACGAACTTAGAATGAGTTGGATATGCCACCATAAGTTCAATCACTTTCAAATAAAGCAGTTTATCGAGGCTGCTCTATAGAGGAATTTAAATCAAAAAAGATTCTTTGTTTTTCCTGGCATTGGTTAACACATTCTAATCAACAATTTTCTAGTTGAAAATACTATTGGCAATATTATTCTGACTGATTAGTTAGAAATAAACAGGATTAATAACAAAACTTAAAATCACTAATAATTACCGCTTTTTTTAGAAATCCACATATTGTTTTCCCATACAAATTGGATGACATTAGTACAATACACTAATAATAGCTTAATGAAGAAGAAATTTTGTTAGTCGAGTAAGATCTGCTTATGTCAGAATTGCTCGGAACGAAAAAATTCCATGTTTGAGAGGTTTCTTTTTATTCTGTGTTGATTGTTTTTGACATTTTTATATTATTAATATTTCCTAACAACGTCTGAAATTACCTAAATATGATTGCCCATACGCTCATTTACTTTATTGAATAAAACAATTCTATATTATAATTATAAATATTATTGTAATTATAGACAATATTTAATTAGTGGTGCTACAAAAACACACACTTTCTGAGATTATTTTTACTCTTGCGAATTTCTAAAATTCAGAGTTCAAAGAAAATGAGACCTGCACCAGTCATAAGCATTGCTTGTTTTATTCATCAAAATAATTTAAAGAAAAAATTTGGAGCAGTTTTATTACCATTATAATTATTATACCTATAATAATTATAAGTTTGTTGTTGTTTTTTTAAATGTGTTTTGTCCATTCATATCAAGCACAAATTACGTAAAAACTACTTGTTTTTACACAGCAATTGTACACAACCTTAAAAAGAACCGATCTTTTACAACGTTTAATTTATGGCAACAATCTCAATCTTCAAATTTGAAGTTTTGCAATGTTGATAAAATAATTGTTGAAAACTTCAGTAAATTTCAAGCTAATTTCATGCTAATTTACCCCAAAACAACTCATTTCTGAAAATATGTACATAACGTTATTTCAAGGTCAGCCTTTGAAGATCAGGCTATAAAGAGGGGAAAAAATATATTACATGTTCAATATTGTTCATGGGATCTTCAATTTAGTACTATTGAAAAGGGGAGTTGAATTACAACAATTCTTTTGAAGATACACAATTTTTTTAAATTTAATTGAATTTCTCAATATTACACTGGGATGCACGAACTAAATTTTGATCATTTATAGTATTAAACTCACATTAAACATTTTTAACTCCATATTAAAGCTGTCTGTTTTGTAAATTTTCGAAATGATTTAAACAATGCAGTCATGGTAAAAGACAAAAAATGAAAATACACCGTTGAGACACTGGACCCTGGTGTGTGTCACTGTAGCCCACATATTGCTCCCCAATCAAACCCCACCGAGTAATCAAGCTGTACCAGTATCGCCTCACCAGTACCATATTAGCCCGGTATTAGATTGAACGGAGCTAACTTGACACAGGATTTTAAATATTTAGAAGTGCTGGGGTATACTTTGCATACTTTTCAACTACATAACCTACTCATATTCAAGGCTCCTATTCAATAATCTTTATGCGTTTGTTACAAATACAGTAAAGCCTTGCTTTTACATTCCCGCAATTTACATTTTCCCAGCATTTATGACAGTTTTTGAGGGTCCCATCTGTTCATGCAATGCAAGCTGTCAATATTTAATTTTATATATTTAATACACACTCCAATGTAAGAAAGATCCAGTGCATTTCATCATTGTACTATTTCGTAAGCCTGCAAGCTCCAACAGGCACAGGGAATAATAATCTAGGGATTCTTCATCACACTTCCTTCCCAAAAACGCCACTCCACGACATGTGGCACTAGAAACTGCTATGCAAGATAATGCAATATCATTGCGTCGTTTATTAAACACAAAACTAACAATAATTTTGGTAACTCAATATGTCAATCAATGCTCTAATTCATTTTCATTCTAAAATAGCTATTGTCCTAATCTTTCAATAAAAATAATTTGAAACTGCTGATTTCATACATTTCAACACAAAAACTGAGAGCGTGCAGCTTGTATCACCAAGCGGCAGCGCTCACCAGCAGTTCATCGCAAGTTTTGGCTGAGAGCACTTCGTATAACGCCAGTGGCTGTTCACCTTTCACATCGCAATGCACCATCTGCACGTATGTAAATTCTTTAACTTCAGTCAGTTGGAAGCAAATCTTCAGCAAGTGCACCTTCTGTGGCTCCAGCAACGAGTTCATTTCTCACTTTACTTCTGCAATGTGCCATGCACATGTAACTTCTGTGCAACAACTTCTGGATGCACTTTCTGGTAATTGTGTTATGTTATAGCACAAGGCATTGCACATTTTGAATATTGCCAATTACATTCATTTAACTGACTTTACATTGCTGTATTTATATGCGAGTGTAAGACTGTGTGTTACTGCCTCTGCTGCTTAAATGTATTTCTTGAATATTGCAACCCCAATCTACTGAACTGTATCTAAATTGTGTTACTGACAACATTTGAACAGTGTTATTGTCCAAAATCTCTCAACTGTGTTACTGCCTGCATGGTATAACGTGTTATCTAATATTACAGCAGCAATTATTTGAAATACATCACTCAATGTGCAACTTGACAATTGGTTTGTTACAACAACTTTGTTGGTGCCCATTGAACAGGCATCTTGCCTTTGTTATCTCAGTGAAGTAGTGACTGATCAAGCTTTCACATTCACATAATTCAAAAAACACATAATTCAAAATTCACAAAAAATGCATAATTCAAAAAATACATAATTCTACACTTCATGCTTGCAATATTGGCATGGTCTGTCTGCTAAGCTGCCTCCCAACTTCGCCAGCAACAACACTCCTTGCTGGGGCACTCCGGGTGTTCTACCTGGAACGTCTCCGTCTGCCAGATGTACAGCCTCCACACGTAAAATTGTGAATTCTCTCTTTCAGCACTATGTTTATTTTATGTAAATTCCTCACAATTGTATTCATTGAATTGAATTTAACTGTTATAGACATGTTTTACAATAGTGGCATTTATTGCCATCTTTAACTGGTCTTCTTTTTAAATTCAGTGAAATGTGCTTCTATGCAGCGTATTGAACTCTTCTTTTATTTGTAACTATCCAATCAGTTTAATTATACATCTTAATTCACATTTCTTGAGATTAATTCTGTGCAATTGTGACTATTTCCCAATCTAGCTTTACAGCTAGAAACAGGTTCCATGGACCTTAATTCATGGTGGTCATTCAGAGTTATGGGAGGAGTGATGGGAGAATTGGTATGTATTTAAATAAAACTCCTCTCAACCTACAGTCCTCCGCCATTGTCTGTTTTCATATATTCACAATGTTATATATACCCCTCTTTACATTAGTAAAAAAAACGATTTTCCCGCAATTTACACCCCTATGCTAGCCACAATACCATCTGAAAAGAACTTTAAGTCACTCACAAAAGAGTTTAATGGATGAATGTTACATGAAGACTAGAAAAAATACAGTGAAAATCATTATTTAGAATCTAGGCCTATACATACACATTTTCATTTTATGACATTTAAATATCACTGTAAAGGGAAGAAAAATGACCAACACACTCTGCTAGAAGAATATGACGCAAGTAGCCTGTATTTTTAGGGGAACCTGTAATTTTGAGGGGAACTTTCCATAAAACCCTGGGACATTTTCACAAATAAACTCGCATGTTTTTGATTAAACTGTTATTGGATAGCGTGAAGGACGTTTGAAAGTATGGTGCAAGTCTCTTACTTGTTACATACCCTGATTTTTCGAAAATTGTAAATGTTCAACATTTTTTCATCACCTTCCTACAACTAAAATATTATAGGTAAGAGTTTTTTTCCTCATAATGAAATCTGTTCCTTAACAATAGATTTTAAAATAAGATTAAGCACAATTTTTCGAAAATTTGAGTTTTACAACAAATGATTGAGGTGTTAGTTCGGAGAGAAGTTGCGGTGTAAAAAGCATTCCTAATGCCGAGAAGGTATGTGCTGTTTTAGTACCACCCATTTCCAACAGTACAAATACCATTGCCCTCTCTTCATCCAATGTGTACATGCTTCTTCAATGGTTTCTTATCAGTGGATGGCGATGACTTGTGTAGGTGTCGCTGGGGCACATTCACTACTTTTCGATGTAAATACGCCTGCAATTTCCAATGTCGCACATTTCGGTCAGATTTCTATTGGACCTTGTAATATTATTTTCTATGTATCAAATACTCCATATAATGCTTATTGTTTGGATGTGTCTAAACACTTTATACTCAGTTTTGAAATAAAAAAATGATTTCCCCTTACTTACACTTCTCGCTATTTATTCTTATGGTCTTGCCCTTTTCCTTATGGTCTCATGAAATGTGTAAAAGAGAGGTTTCATAGCAGTATAAAAGATACAGTGAAAAGTTTGCACTTCGTATCTTAGCCCTGACTGACCCTAGATAAATTACACCCATTGATGTACCATCATCTAATGCTTTTAGCCCCTTGTAAGGAGCAGAAAAGGTTCGTCCCTGTAGATCATTGTAGGAACAAAGCCTTCTCTTGGAAAAGAGAATGGTTCTCTGCTGTGAGGTGTGAATGATATGCTGAAGTGTTCTGAGCTGTACAACCGATGTTGAACTCCCACTATCAGGTGAACACTTTATCAAGAACGTTCAAAGTAGATTTGCCACAAGGGCAAGACGATCACCGAGACGATCACTAACTCTTATTCTCCTTGTTCCTTTCATGCCATTGAAGAAAGTAACATATTTCCCATTGTATAAGATCTGCATAAGAAAGAAACGTCCAAAACAGACAAGTGCATTCTGAACCGCATTAAAATTCAATGATTATTTAAATTAAATTAATTCAATTTATCATAGTCCAGTTCACAAGTTCAGTAAACACAGTTTACACAATCTTTTTTTTAAAATTTCAACTTTTACTTTCTTTAGTAAAACTTAACAAATAATCAAATTTAAAATCAGATATCCACTGCAATTACTATCTTATAGTTGTTCAGAATAAACTTTGATCAACTGACTCCAGGCACTCACCTTTTACACGAACGTTTGTTTTTAAAGTAACATCTGGTCCAACAAACATGGTAGCAGTGTTTGCCAAAACACATCTGTATTCACCACGGTCACTCATCTGCACATCCCTAATTTCCAAGACTGCATTCGTAACGTTGTTGTGAGGTAAAAACTTGTAACGTTCATTACTGGTGTTCAATGTGTTATTGCCATCTGGAAAAATAAAAAAACAGCCTTTAATTTTACCAGAATCAAGGTGCCACATTTCACAAACAGACAATTTATGCAGTCGCCTATTAATTTTCATAATAGCTATATTTCCATTTCCTGACTTTTGTCAAATTAAATTTGACCTCGTAAGGGAACCTGTATGAATAATTTAGAGCAGGGTTGTTCACCTAGTGACCCACGAAAGGTTATTAGTCAAAAGTGAATGTCTCGTGCATCCATGTCAGGAAAGAACATTGTTGTTGGCACATAGGCAGCCAAATTAATTCACATTTGGTGCCACACTTTGATAATTCTTCGAGGCATTTAAGAAGGGAAAGATCATACGTTTTAAACATGGCGTGTTCAAGATAGTTTTAATTTGGCCCCAAAACCCACATATTCTCTCACAAGTAGCAAGAACTCATTTTATACAAAACTCTTTGAAATCAACATTGAAACTGCTTCCAAAAGCGAACAGTAGATTGCACCAACTCCTGGCCTGCTGGCAAAAAAAAGCTTTGCACATCGTAGTAATTTCCCGGAATCCACATGAACAAGAGTGTGATAGGAAGAACAGATATTGGTGATACAGAACTTAATGTAATAGGATGTGTCATACAAGGATGACAGAGGAATTGAATTGAAGCCTTATTTTACATAGCGAGACTTGGGCCATCAGGCCTGCTCTTCCGTCAGACCACACAAATTTTACAACTCCCTTTTTGTTAACTCACGGAGAAAGGCGGTACTTCTTGGGCGAAGCGATTAGAATTAACTCAGAGACGTCATTTAGGCTTGAGGTTCTTTTATATGCAGGTAAATCTACTAACATGAGACAGCCGGCTTTACTTCCCCTCTGAAAGAATTTTTCACCCTAAAAGTTCACGGCATCTATCAGGTTTGATCCGTTACACTAGTCCGATACGCTAACCGTTACACCATCACCGCCGATGAAGGGTGCTAATTAGACACTCAAAACTTTCAGGGGGGCCTAAAAAGTCACAGAACAACTTTAGTATGGGAGAGGACCAGCAAGAAAAAAGCAATGAAATAGAGTAAAACTTGCTCAATGCGGAATCTCAATATTTATTTCCACATTAGATAAGATTCCGCATTCTGCAATGAAATACTGTAGAATTTATTTGGCTGGACAGCAATCTATATTTACATCAGAAGGATTTCCACATTACACATGTTCAGCATGGAGCAAGTTCTACTGCTTTTGAATATAAAATTGGTAATGACAGAAACGATCTTTTTTGTTTTTAAAAGAAAGAAAATTCTGATTATTTCGGCAAAATAATTCAACTTATCAAGACCTTTTACTGGACACTGACAATTTGTGATTTCATTTTGAGTAAGAAGTAAGAGAGAGTTAAAAATTGAAGAAAAAAAAATTACCAGGAGGCCCTTTAAAAATTATTAAAAAATCTTACAAACGGGAAAATGCAGTATACAATGATTACATCTGAATGCAGAATAAGTAAGCCCCAAATATGAATGAAAATTGAATTCACTATTTGCAGTACCAATATCCTTATTTATTTAATTAAAGATGGCTTCTGTGGCAGATAGGGATGTACTTACTGGAAATGAACAACATTTTTACTTGTCCTATGTCTAGTACCAATCTCAACGATTTTAAAAAGGAAGCGAAGATTGATTTAGCTAACATACAAGAACAGTGTATTTTTATAAGCATGCACAAGAATACTCATCAGCTGAATGTTCTGCACATAAAATCACACTTTAATTACAATAAATTATTAGGCAAAGTGATGCCTCCAATGTGTATCCAATTTCACAGTGAGGGTCCAGCCTTCTGCTTAAACGATTCATATAAACATCCACGAGTCTAACACAATTTCAAAAATAATCAACTGTGGCCTTTGGGATTTACATCAAACCTATATATAAATTATAGCATAAATATTTACACTAGAAACTAAATAATTATAAATATTTGGTACTACAATCTTGGATAGGCAATAGCAGTACTATAAATCTCTTTTCTTCTTTAACAAATTTCCTATTACCTCACCTATTCATTGCCATTGCTGTATTGCAACACAACTGCTGTACATTTGATGAAAACTTCCAATAGTTAGGGTGGCAACTATTTTAATTTAACTATTACATTTTAAACCATAACGTACGCAGACTGCAGAGATTCCCTGTGATTAATCTCAGATAGATTAGATTTTATCTTACTAATTATCAAAACATTTCTGTTGAAACTGACCTTTCATGAAATACCAGGTGACTTTTGGTGTAGGAATGCCAGTCGGCTGGCAATCCAGAGTAAGCTTCTCCCCTTCCACAACAATTATGTCTTGCTCCAGACTCCCCATTGGCAGGGCTGAAATTAACATACCTTGCTGACATTTGTTATCATCAAGAAAACTTTTTTGATACACAAGTGAAAAAGATTATTAATAATAATAATAATAATAATAATAATAATAATAATAATAATAATAATAATAATAAAAAAAAAAAAAAAAAAAAAATTTTAAATAATAATATAATAATTAATTAATTAATAATAATAATTAATAATTAATAATAATAATATAATAATAATAAAATAATAATAATAATAATAATAATAATATAATAATTAATAATAATAATAATAATAAATTAATATAATAAAATAATAATAATAATAATAAAAAATCTAATATAAGTAATTAATAATTAATAATATAATAATAATATAATAATATAATAATTAATGGGCAATCATTTGAGCTGGCAATCATGATGCTAGGCAATATGATGCTGGCAATCACTGATGCTGGCAATCATGATGCTGGCAATTCATGAAGATGGGGGCAATTCATGAAGATGTGCAATCATGAAGATTGGCAATCATAAGATGGCAATCATTGAAGATGCAATCATGAAGTATGGCAATTCATGAAGATGGCAATCATGAAGATTGCGTAATCTATGGAAGACAATCATGAGACAATCATGATGATTAACAATTGATTGATAACCAATGATGATTAACATATGATGATAACAATATGTATAATAATATATAATAATTAATTAATGATAATTGATAATAATAATGATAATAATAATGATGAAAATGATGATAATAAATATAAAATAATATAAAAAATATAATAAGAATGATTAATAATAATGAGGATAATAAATATGTAATAATTGTATGTATAATAATGATGATAATAATGATGATAATAATGATGATAATAATAATGATAATAATGATGATGATGATAATAATAATAATAATAATAATAATAATAAATTATTATTATTATAGTAATAAATTAGGGAATTAGATATGCAAATTAGAACCCAAATCACAATCAAAATCGAAAAAAAGTAACGGTGGTAATCATTCAATAAAAAATTAAAAACAAGTGCATTATTTATAGCTGTATATCACAGTTATATAAACAGAATGTAAATTTGTCCCAATAATTTGAAATAAAACTGTATACTGAGACTTCGTACTTACAAACTACTTGAACTGAATCCTTCAAACCATCAGCTTCAACTGTAGCATTGTTTTTAGCTACACATGTATAAAGACCAGCATCTAAATCTACGGGTTTCAGAATCTTCAGTATGCTCGTTTCTTTGCCGTCTTTAAAGGGCTCTGTGGTTACTGGATAATCTTTTAATTCTTCTCCATCCTTTTGCCTATTAAGAGATATATTAAAAAAAACATTAACATACTACACAGCATATCAAGAAAATAATTAGACACACTATTTGAGAAAACAACATTGATGGTATTTCATTAAATAGTTTTTTTCTTTAAAATTCAACTTTGAAATTGGGATGAAATTTTTCTGAAATTCAACTTTGGAAAATAAGAAAATTGCTTATTACAAGATATTTGATTTTTAGTTGGTGCCTATTTTACTCTTTTGACAGACACTTGCTTACAAATTAATGACTCGCACATTTAACGGCGTTATATTATAGGAATACACCTAGTTATTTAAAGTAGTACCTAAAATCCCTACTTAATCATTGAAGCCTAAGATTGCCTATTTGTCCATTAATTATCTCATTTTGGGATTTTTTTAAATCATGTTGACAATTTACAAGCTTATTTCGAAGTCATTTTAAGGCAATAGAATTCTGCTCTCAGAACATCACAGAAAGAAGTGTCAGCACTTCTCACAGCTAAAGCGGGTCTTAAATTACACTGGGCAAATTAATTTACCTCCATCTCCGATGCCACAAAATTTGATAACCATATGAACAATTTACATCTTACTAGATCATTATGGCTTCACTCATGTGAACATCAAAACAACAATTCTTTGCCAATTATCTCAAATATTCAAGTTGGCTCCATCCAAGTTTAGAGGTAAAAATAGTTTGTTGCCTAAAATATTATTTCCCAGGACCCAAGGAAATGAAAAAAATCACATCTAAATTATTAGGGAGGAATCTGGATTACACCCTCAGATTTATGGAAATAAGAGGTTTTAGTTCTAAATTGTGAAGCAAATTTCAGAAAATTATTTTGCTCAAGAGGGTTTAGATGCAAGTGTTGTGGACTTACAAATTTCTTTTTGCAATAATTGTTTTACCATTTACATATTAATTTCTTAAAATATTACACACTAATACACCTGTAATACAACAGTTGAAAATGAAATAAAATTGATCCAGAAAAGTCAACTCAATTTATCCTACTTATTAAACAAAGTATAATGCCCATTTTTGCTTATAAAGCCTATTTTAGGCAACTAAATGAAAGATTTTAGAACAGAAAATCTAAAGACTATTTATTACCCAGCAATAAAACAATACAAATTGTGATCACAATATATATTACAGAAATGCATCCTCTTTCCACATTGTTCACAAAGGCCCAATCACTGTTCATCCTTGGCAATAACTCACCCTGTCTCTGCCACCATTACTGAAATAACACAATTTCTGAATCACCTTTCACTTTCTTATTTAACGTTTGATCCCGTAATATTTTACAATTAACAACTGCACATGAAACTATTCTTTTTGAAGTATTTTACATTCCAACACAATTAAAAAGTCCTTTTTCTTTAAATAACGTGATAGAGATAGATTTTTAATTTAATCTTAAAGATAACAAAGAGGTTTTATTTATTTATAGCACAACAGCAGGCAGATAATCTGATCATGTCCACCCTCAATGTGTAGTTCAAATTCAGCAAACCCATATTGATGAAACTATACTACAATGTATAGAAGCTACACACGTATACAACTATGAAGAATAGAGAGATATAGCTGTCTACAGAATAGAGAGATATAGCTGTCTACAGAATAGAGAGATATAGCTGTCTACAGAATAGAGAGATATAGCTGTCTACAGAATAGAGAGATATAGCTGTCTACAGAATAGAGAGATATAGCTGTCTACAGAATAGAAGATATAGTTCAAGAGAGCAGTAATAGGAGCGAGTAGCGTGGTAGCACATTGGTTGATTAAATGAGGATGAATACAATTTGGTTCTCCTAAGGTGTCACCTCTCAAACCTTGCAGATTCTATTGTACTTGAGTGCTGTTTAAAGCAATGTCTTGAAGGCTTTGTTAAGTTCTTTCTACATTTACTGTAGGCATCTCCATCATTAATTTCTGCGATAAATAAACCATCAAATTGTTTGGCAAAATTATCAGATATTATTCAGGGGATTACCACCTTGCATTAATCAGTAGAGGATAGACGGTAGGGATGCTTTGCGAAGTTAAGACTCTTTTCATTTTATATATTTTACACCACTATGATCATATGATAAGATCCCGAATATTGTAAACATAGTTCATACATATATAAAAATATAAATACCACAAAAAACATTGGCATTGTCAACATTGTTGAGTGTTTCCAGTAAGAGCAGAAGGAAGGCAAATATACTTCTGATGAAGATGGGAAATAACCCTTATAAGCTTCTGTTTGTCTTTATGAAAGAGCCCCTTTCAACACAAATATTGTGGGATGCCACAATTTTTAGTTTAAGTTTCAGAATTACATAGTAGTCACATGAAAAAAAAAAAATCATAAAAACCATGACAAAGCTTTTAAAATTATTTTCTATTCCATGTTTGATAGAGAGAATACACATTATTTTTGCATATTAAAGTTATTTTCTGATATAAATTACATATTATATATTATTTAATAACAATAATAATAATAATAATAATAATAATAATAATAATAATAATAATAATAATAATAATAATAATTTCTCTGCTACTTTATCTTTTCTGTATACATTCTTACTACACCCTCTTCCTTAAACAAGTTTTTTTACTTCCACATTTTTTCTACTAAGCCCCCAGATAACCGCACTAAAAGCATATTGGTCATACAGTATTCATGATACCACAAATACACATTATAAAGCATAGAACTACATCCTTGGCAGGAACAGACATTAACTAATCTTTCACATTCCATGCCAAGTCAGAATAAAGCCCTGAAAAGGTCACTCTTGGGGCTTCTCGTTCTGTATGTGAAGAATACATCCTCAAAATTAAAAATGAGAAAGAGAAAAATGTTCTTCATAGACAACAAACTCCAATACAAAAGCATTTTCAAAATATATAAAAAAGTGTACAATTTTTGTATCCTTTCACAGCACTTCAAAAATAAATTATCATTTGCTCTAAGTAAAAAACTATTTCTGGGCCTTTCAAAACAGTAAATTTATTTAAACTACGTAGGCTGTCACTTCCATACTCACAATTTGAATTAGCTTCCAGACTAGAGAGATATGGTCTGTTGGAAATTATGTTTCCGTAAGTTTCATCCGAAACAGTGGCAGACATCATCAGTTGCGGAGTGGTCATGGTGTTTGACACGAGCGAGCTGTACAGAAGGATACTTTGTCTGCGGCTACTCCGCCACTGACGTCTGCCGCAGTTGCAGACAAAACATCTAAAAGAAATTATTTCCAACAGACCACAGCCATCTGGCTCAAAAGATATTTCTTAGTAATTTTATTACTTACAATAAACTTTAAGAGAGAAAAAGAAAAAAAAAACAACAATTCACAAACAAAGTCAAATAAACAGCAATATTCTAAAATGAACAACTGCGTTTGCAAAAATATAAAATAAAATAAAATCTACCCCATATTATAACTTCTGTAAATTAATAAAGAGGGTTCTCACAGCACAAGAAGAATGAAATGCATGTTCAGGACAGAATAAACATGTACAAGTTATTTACATGTTTACTGAAAATGTGATAGATTTTTAACATCTAGTAGAGCGGATATCTATCTTTTAAATTATTGCACCCCCTGACGAACACAAAATTTTGATGTAATTTACCTAAATAATTTGTTTTGAAGAGTATTACTGTGAAAATCAATTAATGAATCATAAATATCCAGAAAAACCACTCACACTTAAAAGCCTGTCACTAAAATCATTAGAGAAACTGGCCATTAACATCTTGTGGAAACTGGCAAATGGTATGCCCAACTTGTTCACTTTTATTAAGTCAATTGATTTTGCAAGTGCCTGCCTTCTTGTCCAAAGCCTTTCAATGTTCTCTTTTCCCAATTTATACTTTACCATTAATAATCCAATAACAAGGATGTACAAAATGTTAAACAGCATGTAATTTAATGTTTTGAATTCTTATCAATCACAATTTGGTAATGAGCCAAAATGGAAATTATAAGTAGTTTTATTTCATTTACTTATAAAAAAGCAGTAAAACAGAATGTGACATGAGGGGGAGAAGTATAGACGGAGCATTTTATTTGGTCTAGAGTCCTTGCCACGATCATTGAGTTGAGAATAAAGGTTTCAACAAGTATGGTAGGCAACATTTAAAAACTAAAAATTTTCATTCTTGAATAACGGAAAATGTGTGCACAGGCAAACTAACTATCAATTTAATTTGAAAAAATTACAAATCTCCTTTGCCCTACTTTCACAATTACAAAAAAATTCAGTAAATTGCAGATAATAAAACAACATATATTATCAATGACACAAATCTTAAAGTAACTTTATGAATATATTCATGTTAGTTGCATGAATATCACTCGTATGCAAGATTGAAATATTGTATCACACATTGAACGTGTATAGGACCTAAGTCCCCAAGGTTATAAAGTAAATCAGAATAATGAACTAAGGAAGAGAGATTTAAATTTTGAGTAGAAATGAAATTCTTGTCAATTTAGACAAATTGGTGATAATTTTTTAAATGCTGTTGTTTTATTGTGCAATCATCTTCATCAGCAATGCATAAGCTCTGTCAAGTGAATAAATAAATAAATCGGGTCATATTACTAAGGCATGCTGGTGCAGGAGTCACCCATGGTCCAAATCTGTGCGGGTACTACAATATTTTCAAATGCTGTCACTGTGTTTTAACAGAAATAATGCCTCTATTAACTTTGCCAAAGCCTCAAAACATCTGGGGTGTTCTTGGGAATTACAGAATATTTGAAAAATCCCTGAGCAGATACAACTGGGAAAGGTGGTTAAAAATTCAACTTTAATATGGTATCTCTTGGAGTCCCACATCAAGAGGCGTCACAACATAGTGTATATTATTACAAAGGAGCACACTTCTAAATCAATTAGAAAGCTCGGTTCTTTTAGGAGCCCTAGAAAAATTAAAAGTTATCCGAACATTGTGTATTTTAAACTGGAGCCAAAGCTCTGAATTATTTTAGGGCGGAGGTAGCTATTCAGCCCGACAGGTGTGCCAGGGGCCAACTGGGTATGAAGGGATTTTCCCAAAAACCTGGGAAGTAAAACAGGTCGAGACTCTTTCCAGGTTACTCAGTGAGGCTGCTGGAGAGTTCCAGAAAAAACTAAGAGACATGTCGGAACAGAATCTGGCATAACGGATAATAAAGGAGAGCACTGCCACACTCGGCTGAGTTGCACTAATATTTTTTTCATAATTTTTTGTAGTGTGAAAGCATTAACTTATTGAAGGTGTATTTAACCAAACATTGTAAATAATATAAGGAGAGAAAGACATTAAAATTTACAGTCAAATGGTTAACTTCTCCTTCAAATCTTCCCATAAAAATTGTGCACATGCACCTCAAAGGACAGTTATCACGGTTTACGAACCACTAATCTAACAGATTCTTAATTCAACATACACTTTCCATTTTAGGCATAACTGAATCCTTATGCCCACAAAACATAAAACTCTCTTAGTTAGTCATTTGGAATAATTCACTGGCTGCAAGTGATGGAAATTATAGAATTACACACTAACCAAAATGGCAAATCCAAATAAAACTAACAACAGCTCCTAAATAAATAGAGAACATCAAATAAAAGCCATCCACGAAAACCCAGTGACGATCCTATCTACTTTACATATTTGAAGAGAATGAGATAAGTCTTCAACACACTGGGTTATTATCGTCAAGATCTTTTGTTCATATAGTGTCTATGAACTGAAAGTTCATCCAAATACTAAGCCTTCTCAGGGCAAAGCATAAGTTTGCAATATTCAAAAAAGTAACAAAATACAACATTACAACTAATGAATGGATATCTTTCACATATTTCAACAATGGATATCGTCTTACACTTTTTTTGTTCATAACACCACGATTTATAATTTTTAATTTTATCCCAATTTCATTTTACACACATAATGAGTGCTTTTCCTTACCATGTAATGGTGAAACCTGGTTCATCTATATTACATTTCAATTCCAAAGGGACATTTTTTTTAATGACCTTGTAACGTGCCACATCACCTCCATGTTCAGCTTCTAAAACCAGCTTAGCTGCAAAGGAAACATGTTTGCATGAAAAATCACAACCCAACTTAGTTTCAAGTTGCTTATAAATACAATAATTAATAGAATAGCCTGACAAGTGAAGAATTTAATGATCACGTGAAGATAAGGGATTCCCAACCTTATTTTACTACTTCATTGATCCATTTTAGAAGAATTGTTTGCTTTGATGACACCTTTATGTTTTTCTTTTTTAATATACAGCACACCACAATCTCATAACACAAATGCTAACAGACAAATGGCAAAGACAATTTGACAAGAATATCAACAACGTTTTGGGGAAAAAATTATGAATATGTTTTATTGTTCGTTTGCTTTTTGTATTAAAATTTTCCACTTTACAAATATAAACAAGTTTTCAGAAACAAAATCACAGTTTATAATTGCACAAAAGTTCTATTTTCATCCATAAAAACAATGTAAAATTTCAAAACTGATGAATATTAGCGATTTATTATTAGATGCAAACCTAACAGAAATAAATCTTTTATGAAAACAAGTAATTACACTAATAACTCACACGTAACTCATTAATAAAGTTTTTCAATTAATGTGATCTAGATTATACCAATCGGTTGCTGGGGCTTACCCTGCAATCAACCCCGTAGTGCCATTGACCTCTCTGAAATAACATCAACCCACAGTGGGCCAAAACTGACCACTTGGAGAATCCTTCATTTTCAATATCTCTCTTAAATGAAAGACCTAGCCATCAACCAAGAAAAATTCACTTGAGAAATATAAGATGTATATTTATAGCAGTATACTAATTAACCAAATCCCATGGTGAGATAGCTGTGCACGACAATTCCATACAAAATCTAGCAGTTGCAAAACACACTAAACAATGGTCCCATGGTATAAGTTTGCACTCTGAAAGGTAACAGCTCATCAAGTCCACAATTCAGAAACATTTTTTGGAGATGGAAAGAATAAGAATTTTAAATTGCAAATTCTACAGGGGGAAAACACCAGAAGAAGAAGAAAATTAAAAAACTCCAAGCGATTCACTCTAAAAACATCAGTAATTCAGCATTGCAAAGGAAAAGATGTTGCTCACATTATTCAAAAGAAAACCATATTCTTGAGGCCTTAAGAATACAGCAGAATGCAGATTTTGATGATTACAATCATCTACTTCGAACATACTAATTTTGCATTTCTTCAATCACATTTCTTTTACACAAATTTCAAAACTGAAAGGCTAATAATAAATTGACATTTTAGCTTTCTTCAATTGCCTTTTCATTGACAATTGTTTAATTTGAAACTAATGAATTGTATATGGTCATACACATACATCAAAATGCATTTAATGTTAATAAAATGTAATAATGTTTTAATAGAGCTCATTAGTTCTGAATGTAAAAATTCACAACAATTAAAAAGTAAGAGGCATAACAAAAAATTACTTTGTTACCAGTCAAATGCAGAAGTCATTTTTTAAGACCTTGCATTATATACTTTCAGTTAATTTAGTGGAACTTGTCCTTTTTGGGCACCAATATATTAAATGTGCTCAGTTTTTTGTAGATTAAATAAATACTAAATATGTGCTGTGATTCTCATTTTAAAATGAGAGATCTCATTGTTTAAAGAATTAAAATGATAAATCAAAATCTATAGTTCTTAACTACATAAAATAATTAAAAAGTGGCTGAAATTGAATTACTGAGTTGCTCGTCGACACAATTAAAACGTATTACTACAAGCCACACAACAGAAATGGGTATATGAAATATGGAGGGAAAAAATATTTTCCATGACTAATACAATACAGTTCTTTTCAAGTCTAATCAGCGAGGAGTTAAAGGAACCATTTTTAATTGCTGTACCCCTTCGTTCATCTGACACACACATACACACTCGTGCACATGCATGTTATTCAACCTCAAGTCCTGGGGATCAGAGAGGAGCATATATCCATTTCAAGCATCTAAACTTAAAATTACAAATATATCCACACTGTAATTCAATTATTAAACATTATTGTAAAAGAAAATTAAACTTTCCAAAATTTATTCCAGTGTTGATTCTTTTAACTATTCATAAAAACCCATTATCAGGATAAGAAAATGACAATAAGAACATCAGAAACAATAACAGATTGCAATTCAGAAACAATCTTATACTGCCATTGACATGAAAATGTTTATAGTAGCTTAACTGACACACATTTTTTGCATGTAATTTCACAACTCCTTGAGACATGGAAGCATTTTGCAACAAATTTTCCCTACAAAATGACAAATTCATAAAAAACACAGAAATTAAAATTTCTCATGAACATTAAGATGTAGAACTTGTGTATGGATGTTCGAGCTCCCACTATATCCGAGAGCAAACTTTTCTACCTTCCAACCGTCACAAAGAAAACGTCAAGAGTGGCAGGGCCTCTGATACCTGTCACTGATTGCCTCTATTACCACATCACACTAGGGAACACACTGACTCCACAGCAACTGGGAAAGGCATTTTGTATTTTACAGCATCTCTTCATAGTTAGTTCAAACAAACCACACCATATTAAAACTAAAGGAACTCCTTACCACTCACAATAAACACTTGATGACTTTCCTGACGAACAGGTGTACATTGATAGCTTCCAGAATGATGAAGTTTAACATGAGACACTTTTAATACAGACTTGATTACATTATTTTCATTTGAAGTATGCCAGACGTAACCATCAAAACCTGAGACGATTGTTTTACCATCCTTCTGCCACACAATTGGCTCAAAAAGCGTAGCTAGGCATATAATTTCCAAGGAATCGCCTTCTACCAGGACCTTACGCCCAAAATACTGTATCCGAGATCCCCCTGAATAAGACAATATGGTAGGAAGAAAAAGATGGTAAAAGCAGAAATAGTGATTTAAAGAAGTAATTATAAAGCACTGCCACAGGAACATTTTGCTAATTCTGCTGCAATTGTAGGGATACCAAAACCTTACAATTAATTTGTCCAACAAATGTTCTTGCAGAACTCTTAACATCTTCCTGCATTCTACTTCGGGATTTTCTCACTGTCATTTACCGAGGGAAGAATTTTGAACAAGATCTCCCAATTTGAAATTTCAACGAACTAAATGGATTCTTACAATTGAAGCAGTATTTCTCAAGTGTGTACTTGAAACTTGCCAATCTTCTGGAACAACTGTAACACAGCTAATCCTCAATCAACATAATCAGTAAGAAGAACTTCTCATTCAAACTACATTTTCTGCATGGCACAGTGGTTCCATGACAATCGTCAGTAGGTAACCTAATAAAAATATACTGGCGAACTGGAAAGTGCTCCCTTATTAATACGCACAAGTAAAACAGCACACACTAAAGTGAATTAAGATCATGTAAATTGCTTGATATGAACAATCTGTTTTGCTAAAAAAAAATATACAACAGATAAAAGCAAAAATGAAAAAGGTCAACTTGTTAAGAAAGCCTATTTTAATTTCAAAACTGAGAACTTCAAACACATCCTCTCTGAACCCCAGGGTGAGTTTTTTTCCTTTTCTTTAATCTTATAACATCTTTCAACTTTTTGGCAAATCTGGAATTGCTTTTTGCAGAAAATACATTCATAGACTCCCATTCGCCAAAATACTTCATATAAATGCATAAAATTCTGTTTAAAAATCTTCGATATTTATTAAATCAGCAATGAAAGGTGCAGGGCATTTCATGCATATTTCAATTACCTGACACACAACACAAATCATTCTTAAACACAAAATTAAGAACACCAATGACAATTACTTAAAGAGAACCAAAGGTATTTGGCAAAATACTTACAGAGCTACGAGTGACACTGCACCAATATACAATAAAATATAACGCCTGACAATACATCATTTACGGCATTTATTATGTACTAAAACCGTGCACTTTAGTGGGGATGTCGTAAGTAACGTAAATATTTCTTCTAAGTTACATTCTTACAAAGTATGACTAATACATATCCTCACCTGCAGTACTTATTTGCACACAAGCGAAGATGATCACAACGAACGTTACTGCCCATGATCGTAATGCTGGCATAGTTCTTGGTAAAAACATTGCAAACTGCGAAGTTATCACGAACTTCAAAATCAATTTAAGTAGGGCACCTTACCCCGTGTGCCACCACCCAATCCAACAGCAAAATGGCTACTATACCACTCCAGCCTCTGATCTCAACCAGTAGGCAGTGGCAAATGTGACAGAAATAGAAGTCTAACATAGAGATAAAAAAATCTATGTATGTGTACTCAATATTTCTTCCAGATGGCGTTGGTGTCTTAAGCTTCAGACCAAATCTTCATTTGTGATATCAAGCTATCGTAACGAGATCACGTTACATTTCCTGGATGTTAATAACTATGTTTCAAATATTGTTAATTTATATCCATTTTTTTGCTCCCTAATAATAGCTCCTTAACATATCGAATCACGTTACATTGAACTCTCGTTATATTCAACTCTTGTGTGTAGCAATGTACCACAAAACGCCCGCCCAATTCAAATGAATAGGCGAGGCAAACAATTGTTTTGACGATTTAGAAAACAAATTTGTTCTGTTATAATGACTTTTTAAGCAACATTTCAATGATAACTTGAGTTGGACAAACCATATTACAACCTATTTGATTCTTGAACATCAAAATGTAATTTATCAAACTACACATTCATGAAGAAAACTCTAAAAACCAATGTGGCAATGAGAGATGTTGAACAGCAATATATAGGCCCTATTGCCCTACACAAAAACAAGGACCATCTCATTAATAGTTAACTAAAGTAATATTAATTTTAACATCATATTTTTCAGATACATTGATAATTCCATTAAAATACAGTTTAACTTTTATTAAAAATTTCAAAAACTATTAAATTTTTAAAATCGTATTCTTTAGATACGACTTTTTCTCAAATATATTTAAAAAAATATATTACAAAGGAATTTTTTTCGTATATTAGAAGTTCAGTTTTATGCTCACTATAAATTATACAATTTTCAGACAAGTTCTGTAGACAACTATGCATTGTTATTTCAGGGTTCAATGAAGTAATTTTTTTTTAATTCAAAACTTTATTAAAAATTAGTAAATAAAAATATATACATTATGTCCTCTCATAATAATGTTTCTGAGGTAAAAGAAGTGCTGAGTTCAATGCTTTCATCACTGCATTGTAAAATTGGATAATTCGCTACACATTAAATACCGTGATTATAATTTTTTATAGTAATTTCAGTAGGCCCCTAAATTACATTGTTTCTTGTCTATCTTTTGTTCTGACTTTTTAAAGGTAATTGCCAGAAAGAAATCTTTCACATCGAAAAGAACAATAAAAATATGAAAAGAATTAATTACTCCATAATTATACATTATTTATTACAAGTGATTGAAATACCGGAGCAGTAATTGGACTTGAGACTTTTAAAATCCTCATTAACAAATTTTGTATCATGTATGATAGAAATATTTTATTTCATTCTCCAACAGTGCTATGAGATTCAACAGAATTTTAACAGAAATACATACAGGGTTGAAATAAATAAATATTTTCAAATAATAAAAATTATAATTAAAATAATATTTTCAGCACTTGTAATTACAAATTATTTGGAATATAATGGATTCCAAAAATTGTATCACTATGTTGTTAACATTTGTGCATTTCGGTTGTATTTTGTAATAAAATCTCTTTATAAAAGTGTACAACTTAATATTTGAACTGTCCATATTAATGAATGATATACAGACCCAAATCTTCAGAATTTGCATTTGTTGAAATAAGTATTGACAGAACATTCAATGATTGTTTGAATGTTATTATAACATACAAAGAATGTGAATCTAAACCTGTGGGCTCTCGCTACGTGAAGCGGAGGAGGGGGTACCCGCCACCGATAGCAGAATATAGCTTTAAATGGGAGCCTTCCCAATGCGCCACGACCGCAGCGCAGAGCCCTTAAGGAAGATGACGAGCTTCCTGGGGTTCTCTACCATCTCATTTAAGACATCATTTACAGCCTGCTTCGTTTTGTTAGCCTTGACATTTTCATAAATTCTTTTCAACGATTCTCAAGAGTCGAATGGAAGAAGACGAACTCGATCTATCTCGTATCGAAGGAGATTTCACAAGTCTAAGTCATGTAATTCATATTTTGACGAATTTTCACCACTGACGGAAGTTTCATTAGAAAGGGATCAGCCTTCATTTTCAGATTATTCTAAATGTTCGCTATGTTAATAATTCGATTGACCGGCAATATGTGCCTTTCCTAGAATGCTAGCAAGTTGTTGATCTGTTAAGTCTCATTACAGGGTTGTGTGTGTGTGTGTGCGTGCGTGTGCGTGCGTGTGCGTGCGTGTGCGTGCGTGTGCGTGCGTGTGCGCGCGTGCGCGCTTTTTTTTTTTTTTTTTTTTTTTTTTTTTTTTTTTTTTTTTTTTTTTTTTAGTTCGAATTCATTAATCACACGTAACCCATGGGTCATTTCCTGTCATCTGTTACGGTGACGGTGGCTCGGCATCTCTCCGCAGGGTCTAGCAAAGGTCTCCCGATGACCAGTCGGCATTCCTAAGTCTTAAGGGGTTTTCACTGACTGCTGGAGGCAGCCGCTTTGCTGGCTACTGCAAGATTCGACATGCAACTACTTCATGCAACTACTTTACGGTCTGCTTCAGAAAGTGGTGTTCAATAACCGGATGTCAATTATTTGTATAACTTGGTTGGCCTAAAATCCGGAAGTTCTTGATTACAAATCACAAACTGCAACAATTTCACAAGCGTTGGTTTTCGTTACTGCACCTTTTCCCGCTTGATGCAAGGAATGTATCGATCAAACAACACTGACTACAAAATAATCGTATGCTTAAACCACAGGCTTCTTTACCTTTCTTTTTTTTCTCTGGCGTTTGTAGTTGTCCCTTATCAGTGAGCTCTTTCCGAAGTTAATATATAATATCAGAAATTTCTACATTAATTTTAATGTAAAAGTATATGAAAGTAATTATCATGAACGAATATTAAATATAATACAGAGAATTGACAGAAAATGGGTTCAGCAGCACGCTTTTACAGTCCTTTCCTAAGAGAAAAAATTGAAGAATAAATTTGTAGCCGTTTCTTAAAAAATATTTGTTTAAAAATTGATTGCAAAAGTACGCAAAAACAACTCAAACTCATTTGGTAAAATTGCCCATGACCTTATATCGAATTTGTCTTTGAAGAACATATATCATTAAGTACAAAATATTTTATTGTTGTAGGAAGACGCCTAAAAAATTTAAAGTTTTGCAATTTTCGAAACTTCAAAAATTTCAAAGAAAATTAGCACTGGGCCAGTTTTTAAGTGTTTTAAGTCTTTTGCGCTATTCCAGGCAAAACTGCAATCAAAAACTTAACAGTCGTTTCTGAGAAAAAAAGTCGAGTCTGGCTGCAACTTACCCAAAAAGCAAAATATACTTTTCAAACTCGCTCGTTAAAATCATTTGGGGAATATCAATTTTGGAGAAAATCGTCTTAACGGTTTTGGCGCTAGCCTTGACCACAGACGGACATACAGAGGTATGAACAAATAGAAAGACTGAAAGACAAAAGAGAAAGAGAGAAAGTAAGGTAGATAAACAGAACGACACAAAAACAGAATGTCAAAAAGTCAGAGAAACATGGAGTCCAGAAGTCAGAAAGAAAGGCAAAGGGTCAAGCAGACAGGCAGAAAGACAAAAACAGAAAGTCCGAACGACAGGAAAACACTAAGACAGAAATGATGTTAAGATAGACAGAGAGAGACAGACAAATAGTCATTTTGCCATCGACCAATAAATTTTTCAGTATCAAGGACCCACAAAAGTTGTTTCTGACTACATAATTACCACTAATTCTCGATTCCATCAGTATTCAAAATTCGTTTTGTATGTGGGTTAGGGTAGGATTCCCAGAATTAAAGAAAACATCCACAAAATACACTTGTCCTTATAATACATCACACACACTTTTTAACTGTTTTTCACATTAAGTAAATGCACTAGTGGTGCTTGAGCAACATGTTTTTTGCAACAACACATGCTTTATTTCTAATTTTGCAATTTAGAAAACTAACAGAATTCAACAAAAATGAGACCTGCACCATTCTTTTGGAGGTCCTTTCTTCTAAACGTGAAAAAAATTAAGAAACAACTTGAAGTTTTTTAGAAAATGTTTTATTTTATATAAATTGCATTAAATTCAAGCCAAATTTAAACGATAACTATTCGATTTTTTTTAAAACTTTGCATGACCTTTTCTAAAGAGATGTTTTTACAACAGACTTTGTATAAAATGAAGAAAAAAGTGTTGAGAAAACTTTGAAAATGTTTTTGAGGCTTCATGTAATAATCAAAAATCAAAATATCCTTTTGAAACTTTCTAAGGCTCGAATTCGTTGAGATCGATCGGGTAATATCAGTTTTGGAAAAAAATGGCTGAACGGTTTAGGTGTTGGCGACCGCAAACAGACGGAGAGCCAGAGGTTTTGCCCTTAATCGATTTCTCGGTATCAAGGAATCACTAAACATTGATGCTGGATACACCCAGTGATAGAAAAATAAATTTGCCATATGTAAAAACAGGATTTATCCCCTTTTTCGTTGCCAGGGCCCAACAATAAGAGTTTTTCTGTCGAAAATTCGCCGTTCTTCTTAAGAAGGGCGAAAAGTAAAAGAAGGGCTCAACAAAACGTTTGCATAGTGGACGCAACATAAACAGCAACTATATATTACTGTAATATGTGCAACAAAATGTATACGAGTGTTACAGCTACTATAATACTTGTATAAAGCTGTATATACATACACGTATGTAAACAAAGAGAGGGAGAGGCTGGGAGTGAAGGTAAAATGCTGCAGAGAGGCAGAGAAAGAAAAGAAAATGGAAAAGAGGCAACCCAGGAGCTTAATCACGATTGAGTAGCGCGCAATGCCTCCACGTTCATTTGGGAGCCCTGGGGCAGATGTTCTGCCATTGCCGCAGCCTTTCTGTTGAACTTTTCTCGTCGCAGCCGACCGCTCATGCTGGCAACAAAACGCGAATAATTCTTCAGATACTGCTGTTTACTCTTCAACGAGAGTTACAGTCCTGGAATCCGACTATGAGTTCAGATTGGTGCTTCTTGCGCCCGACAGCTGTCCCGCTGTGACTGATTTGTTGCAGGAGCAACAGGATCTCGAAAGCGAATGTAAATTACTACCGAAGCCTTGTTTGGGGAAATATAATGTGAGTACTGCCTGCCTATAACGGTTGTTTAGCTTACCTTATCTCATTAAACATAAGTAAGCATTTCTACACTTTGCTCTGGTGTAAACAAGTCAAGGACTCTGCGCTGAATATATTTCACTAGGATTCCTCATGACATCCTACATATCACTACATAATTGTTCTGAACAGAGAGGCGAAGTGACAGACTTGTGTTTCTTTAAAAAAAAAACTCGTATTCAGTGTCATGGACCACTAAAACAATATTTCCGTGTGAATCTCGATTTGTATTTTGTTACAGCATTGCGTAATTTTCCCATTTTTATGTAAGTAGAGTGGATTCTGTATATACAGAGAGTATATACTATGAGTAACCCGTAAAAATGACGGAATG